ATATAAGAGAAAAATAATTACAATATGCTGAAAACTCTTAAAACTATTTTTTCTTTAAAGAGTAGACACCTGGGCTGGAGAGATGGTTCAGTGGCTAAGAACACTGGCTGTTCTTGCAGAAGACCTAGGTTCGAATCCAAGCACCCACATGGCAGCTAACAACTGTCTGTAACTCCAGTCCCAAAGGATCTGACAGCCTCTTCTGACATCCATTGGAATTGCACGACATGGGTACATGCAGGCAATACATGCATACACATAAAATAAAAATAATAAATTAAAAAAATTTAAACTAAAAAAAGAACAGACACCCATGTACTATGTAGAGACCACATTTGTGTCCTGTCTCTACAAAAGCATTTTTAGATAATCAGGAAATTTTGGATATGGACCAAGTATTAAATTACCTATTTAAAAAAAAATCACTTTAAATTCTGTTTTGTTTTGCCTTTTGAGACAGAATCTCACTGTGTAGCCCTGACTGGCCTGAAACTCAATATGTAGACCAGGCTGACCTCAAACCTATAGAGATCCATCTGCCTATGCCTCCCAAGTACTGGGCTTAAAGGTGTTCACCACCACATCTGGAAAAAAAGAACCCCACTTTAAATTTTATTAAACGTAATAGTAGCAGAGTGGTTATGGATTCAAAAAGTTAAAGATATGGGGCTGGAAAGACAGTGACTAAGAGCACCAACTGCTCTTGTAGAGGACCTGAGGTCAGTTCCCAGCACCCTCATGGTGGCTGACAACTGTCTGTAACTCCAACTCCAGGGGATCCAATGCCCTCTTCTGACCTCTGGGGGCATTGCATGACACAGGTGCATTTACATGCATGCAGGCAATACACTCACACACATAAAAACAAAATATTTTTAAAAGTTAAAGATATATGATGAAGAACTGAGAGTAAAATGATATGGTCTCCAGGATTTGATTAAAATGTTGCTTTAAATAGCAGAAAGGAACAAATGAACAAAGAACGACAAAATGTTGATCATTATTAACTTCAAGCCATCAGCAGCAGACCTACAGGCTCATGATACTATTCTCCGTTCATATATGATTGACATTTTCCATAACAAAAAAAAATTTGAGATAGCGCCACAGGTCAGGGTGCTTCCTGCCAAGACTGACAACCTGAGTTCAACCCCCAGGTCCCACATGGTGGAAGGAAAGAACCAACTTCTACAAATTGTCCTCTGACTTCCACATGTTTGCCATGGTACCTACACACACACACATGCACGTGCGCGTACGCACACACACACGTGTGCGTATGTAATTAAACATTTTTCATTGCAAATTTTATCTTGCACTAAGAACTATTTTATCTGCATACTGCCCAACAAGAGAAGAAGGCTGACTTCAGATCCAGCCCAACTCAGATCTTAATTAGACAGTGAATTGCAAAATGCTGAGATTGGTCTAATTTCACCTGTAGTGCCGGACAAGGAAGGCGGTGCAAAGGAAAAAAAAAAAAGAATGACGACTGCTGTTTTGATAGGGCAAAGAGCACTTTGTAGGAAGTAGAAAAGGAAAGGTTGGAGCCACGCCATGCGACAAGGCAGGAACTGTTGTCAGAGAGCTGTACTGAGTTTATATGGGTTGCCCAGATCATCTGCTGGTGAGCAATGGAACAGACCAAAGGCTCAGCTCTCTCTAGTTTTTCTCCTGGATAGTTTTCTTAGCCAAGGTGCTTTTCTCTTCCTCACATTCCTTGTCAGTAATGTTTATTTTCTTTCTTTCTTTTTGTCACAGGCTAAGGATAGAAAAAAGGCCAACCAAATGCTCTAAGCAAGGTTTCTCTTCCTAACACATTTTGGGCTGTCAGGGAGTATCTTAATACTCCAACGGTTTCCTGGGTTGGGGAGGATTTTGTTTTGTTGTTTAGGGTTTTATTTCTGCTGTTTTGTTCCATTTACCATCATGAGGAATTGACTTGAACACTTTCAATGAAGAAAAAGTGAATTAAAGTAATAATAAAAGGTTTGGCCAACAAAGTCGGCCAAAAAGTTCTCAGCTTGTAAAGGCACCTAGGGGCAGCCAAGCCCTGAGAAATCTCAGCTGTGCAAAGTCGACCTGGGCTCCAGGTTGCAGAGGGAAGGAACTGAATAGCAGCAAGAAGTTTCTATGATTAAGGCCAGACAGAGGATTAGCAATGGAAAGCCAGGGAAGCTATTTCCAAACAAACACAAGGAGCCTTATGCGGTGAAAAGGACAGGGAACTAGGAGATGGAGGCCTGGTTTCTACCCCCATGTAGAGATTCTACGATGGAACTTTCCACTTCCAGGAATTTCATTTCCCTCCTGCTGTTGTTTGAATGTCACCTTAGAAAATCATAACAAAACATAATCCCCAGATTATTGGTTGATGGTATTGGGATATGGGAGCTTTGGGAGATAATTGAAGTTAGATAAGGTCATATGTGTGGCACCCTCACAATGGGTCTGTTTTGTTAAGTTGTTGTTCTTGATAATGATGTTTTAAAGAAAGATCCGAGCCAACCCAGGCTTGCTGTCTTGCCATATGACACCTCCTGCAAGGTCATGATGAAACAGACATAGGTTCCTTGATCTTAAGCTTTTCAGCCTCCAGAATTATGTGCCAAATAAACCTCTATTATTTATAAATTATCCCATCTGTGACATTCAGATCTAACAACTGAAAATGGACTAAGACACCTGCCCATAAAAAAACAATCTCAGGCAAGATGGCTCAGCAGGTAAAGGCACTTGCTGTCAAGACTGGCAATCTGAGTTCAATCCCCAGGACCCACATGGTAGAAGGAGAGAACCAACTCCTTCAAGTTGTCCTCTGACTTATACACACACAAAGTAATAATTATTGTTGTTATTGTTAATTAAATTTAAAATAATGTCATGAAATAGTTCTTAAATAATCTCAGCAGTCCTTCCAGAGTTGGTGCTGACTGTCCATGTTTAAGAGCATCAGACATATCAGAGTCAAATTCTAACCTGACAGACACAAAGACTACAACAAGTCAGCGTTAGATGTCCCATTAGAGATTTTTTTTTTTTTTTTGGAGGACGGAGTTGCAATCCAGACTGGCCAGAGGCACCTCCGCCACCAGAGATTTCTTTTCTTTTTAATTGACAAATAAAAATTTTATATATTGGGGGCTAGAGAAATGGTTCAGCAGTTAAGAGCCTTGGCTGCTCTTGCAGAGGACTCGGGTTTGGTTCCCAGCACCCACATGGCAGCTCACAACCATCTGTAACTCCAGTTCCAGGGGATTTGATGCCCTCTTCTCACCTTCACGGGCACTGCACAACACAGGTACTCTTACATGCATGCAAGCAAAACACTTATGTACATAAAATAATAAATAAAAGATTTTTTTTAATTGTATATATTTATCATGCACAACAATGATGTTTTAAAATATGTATACAGGGGCTAGAAAGATGGTTCAGTGGTTAAGAGCACCTGCTGTTTTTCCAGAGGACTAGAGTTTGGTTCCCAGCACCCACATAAGGCAGCTCACAACCACCTGTAACTCCAGCTCCAAGGAGAATCCTACACCTTCTCTAGCTTCTACAGGCACCTGCACTCACATTCAAATGCACCCACGCTGACCCATATGTATCCACATAAATAAAAACAAAATAAATCTTGGGAGGCAGGATACAGGCAGATCTCTGTGAGATCAAGGCCAGCCTGGTCTACATAGTGAGTCCCAAGCTAGCTGGGGCTATAGGGAGACCCTGTCTCAAAAAGATACAAATAAATAAATAATTAATTGATTAATTAGTAAACAAAATCTTTAAAATACACATACATTGTAGAATGGCCCAGATGAGCTAATTAGCATATATACTACCTCACATACTTATTTTTGTGTGTGGTAAAAACACTCAAAATTTCTCAGCTATTTTCAAAATACAACCCATCGTTTTTAATTGTAATCACATGAATGTACAATAGATCTCTTGAGTTTATTTCTCCTATCTGTTGTATCCATCAACCAATATCTCTCCCACCCCCACTTTCACACAGGTCTCTGGTAATCACTGTTCCGGTTTCTGTTTCTGTAAGTTCACCAGGCACTGTAGCTCATCCCTGTAATCACCACACTCAGGAAGCTGGAACAGGAGGCTCACTAGTATAACGCCAGCCTGGGCTCATAATGAGACACTGTCTCAAAAATAAAAATAAAAACATTTTTAAAATATATTTCTAGGTCATGCATGGTGACAAACACCTTTAATCCCAGCACTTGGGAGGCAACAACAGGAAGATTTCCTTGAGGTTGAAGCCAACCTGGTCTATATAGTGAGTTCCAGGCCAGGCAGGGCTAAATAGTGGGACCCTCTCTCAAAAAACCAAAACCAAATCTATCTCTATAAGTTTAACATTTTAAAATCTCACATATAGATGAGGTCATGAGCACTGTCCTCCTGAGCTTGACTTATTTCATTCAACATATGACCTCCATGTTCATCCATACTGTCAATGACAAAATTTCTTCCTAAGACTGAATAGTGTGGTGCGTGTGTGTGTGTGTGTGTGTGTGTGTGTGTGTGTAATCACAGTTTTCTTTCCCATCAGCTCACTTGCTGATGAGCACTTTACATTGATTCCATATCTAGACTATTATTGTAAATTATGCTTCAATAAACCTTGGAGTTTGGCATTTTCCAACATACTGATTCATTGCCTTGGGCTATATACTCAGTAATGGGAATGATGGCACCTACGACATCTTAATCTTCCTTTAATCTTCTATTCAGAGCAGTTTTTGCTGAACTTTCATAGCCTATTATATTTTCAACCTGTATCACAGTGAGGGACAAGTAGTTCCACAAGTAGTTCCACCAGCTCCTTAAGGCCTGAAACTTTCTCCTAAGGAGCAAGAAGGCTCAAGGCACAAAGCCCACAGAAACATATAGCTGCTTCTTGGAGCAGCATAGGCTAGAGAGTGAGGGGGGCAGCTTCTGAGCCAACCAGTGCCCAGTCCCCCAGGCAGTGTACTCACCGAGATCTTGGTAAAAATGTAGAGCAACAGGGACAGAAGAGACAGGTAGATCTGGATCCGCTTGCCTCCAAACCTCTTCCGCAGGTACTCTGGCATTGTCACCACCTGTGTGGGATGTAAGGAACGTCACGACAAGCCAGAGAGACCAGAAGGTCCAGAGGAAACAGACAAATGGGATCTGTCCTGGTGTCAGTCTCATAAGGGAAGTCATAGATCCCTTGTTAGTCCAGGAAGTCCTCTGACACCCAGTCATTTGTTTAGTTCAAGCCCACAGACCCTAGAAGTAGGTAGGCCCTAGAACGTACTTACAACTTGTGTGTGTGTGTGTGTGTGTGTGTGTGTGTGTGTGTGTTTGTACACTGTACTGCAAATAGGATAGCAGTGGCCTCTTGCCAGTGCACCAAGCAAGTTGTCTGGGCTGAATGTGACTGTCACTATGATCCGCACACAGGCAGTTTAAACATTGTGGCTGAAGATATTCTCCCAGTTCCTTTCTGCAAATTCCAGCTATACTTCCTGTTTTGCTTCCTCTACCCTTGCTGTTGTCTGGGATCAATGTGTCACCAGCAATCTATGAGCCTTCAGAAGCTGTAGTCTGCACTGTTTGTCCTATGTCATTTTTGTCCCTAATGTAGAATATATAAATGTATAAAATAAATAAATGGTAAACAAATAGGTATTCACTATGGGTCTTGAACAGGTGGTATTAAGCTACATTTGATAGTTGAGTTCAACTGCATTGCTCAGAAGCAGGAGGTGCTGACATGCACAAAGGAAGGGGAATATCATTCTTTCTCAAGCTGCCTCCCTCCTAGGGGCAGATGTGGACAGCTGCATATCAAGAGCAAATAGCAGGACAGGACAAGAACATACCCAGAGTGAGGGTGCAGGATGCTTCAGAGGGGTCTGGATAGAGTGGGGTTGCTCAGGGAATCTTCCTAGATGGAAGAATATGAACCTGGACCAAACAGCCAGAGGATCTGTTTAATGTCCCTGCAATCAGGAACCATTTTAAAACCTGGGAGTAAATGCACACTCACAGTTCTTCTCTACTGTTTACCCTATAGTCTCCTCTGCCCTCAGGAGGATCACATTTACATGTACGCATTTGCTGGTCTGAGATGGGATAACAGAGCAGATACTTACCCCAGCCTTGATATAAATAGGGACAAACACCCAGCCCAGCACGACCACCACAATCAAGGCCTGAAACCAAAACAAGAGGTGGCTTCAGATCAGGAGAAGCCTCAGCCCCTCCCTGCTTCCCCCAAGGGACCCTCAACTGCTACAGAAAAATCATCCAGGAAAAACACCCATATTTAAGACTTTTCTTTTGTCTTTCTCTCTCCTTCCCTCCCCTCTCCCTTCCTTCCATCTTTCCTTCCTTCCTAAGGTCAATTCTCTAAGTGACTATTAGAGCCTTTGTTCCTTGCTTGGCCCACAGCAAAGGAATTTGAGCAACAGTGGAAGGGAACCCAGGAGGCTGCCCACTCACATCACAGCCCCAGGCCCCCAGCTACAGCACTGAGATCTCCTTTGCCTCTTCCCTGGTTTATAAGGAGTAACGTACCATTTAGAGAAGACGAAAGGGAAGAAGAGAGGGAGGGAAGGAGGGAGGAAGGGAGGGAAGAAGGGACAGAAAGACGGATAGAGGGGGCGGAGAGAAGGAAAAGCAAGTAGACGGGAAAGAGGGAGAGACGGGAAACCTGACAAGTAGTTCCGGACTTCCACCGTGGCTAAAAGAAGCTTTGTCTTTTCAATACCAAGGGCAAGGAGAAGAAACACTGTTACTATTGTATCAGTGGATCTCTTGTACTACTCTGGTACAAGGGAAGCAGGACCCGGGGGCATGCTCCTGAAGTCACACTCCTCCAACTGTACCCCGTCTGTAATCCTCCAGGGTGGCTCGGAGGATTTCCATAACATCTCAGGATGCTCTGATCCTAGACTGAACTGGCTAGGCGCTAAGACCCTGCAATGGTCCCCATGTTGGAGACAGTCCTTTACGGAAAGTAGTGGGAACTTTGTGTTGTGGTAGAGCACAGTGGGCAATCCTTGGGTTTTAAGAGTATGACTCACAGAAGTGATTGGGATATTTCTAATGGGAATCCTTCATAGTTTCTGAGGGAGAGTTGTTACAAAAACTTGATCCCAGTTTCACCCAACTTCTCTGGCTTCTTGCTTTGGGTGACATAATCTCCTTCTCTCTTACAAACCCCCTCCACCATTTTCTATCCACAGTGAGTCTACATAACCAAAAGGAGCCTCGCAAGAGCCTGAACCATGTTGTTTAAACTTGCAGCCTTCAAACCTATGACCAAATAAGTCTCTTTTCTTTAGAAAGTTAACCGGCCTCCAACATGTCATTATAGAAATGAAAAATGGACTAATTCAGGCTCCTTCTACCCTAGGACACAGAGACGCAGATATTACTCACGATCCATTCGAAGCCGCCAATGGCGATGCCTGAGGCTGCTCCTGTCCCAGCCAGCCCCACAAAGTGGCCACTTCCAATGTTACTAGCAAAGAGAGAGGCTCCAATCTGGAAATACAAAAATAAAGTCAGGTGAGAAATTTATGCTTGAGCAGACTTTCATGACGGGCCCAAAGCAAGAAAAGACGTATCAGCCAAATGAAGGGATATGTGAGATCAGAGGCTAGTAGGAAACCTGACTATGCTAAAATCGGCAGGACGACTAGTTCCTATGGGAGCATGGGGACATGAGCGATAGTGAAAAAAAAAAAAAAAAAAAAAATTGAAGGAGCGGAAGGACCAATCTCTAAATCAGATCCTCTGTCAGTCTTTTAAGTTAGCCTGATACTGAATAGTGAGGACACAGGAAGTTCCACAGCCTGGCAGAATTCCCCTAAAAGTCTCACACAAGGCTGTCTGCTCTGGGCAGGGGAAGGACCCTTCATCTTCATATCCTCAGTCAGGCCTGGTGGTTTAGGGTCTTGTCTAAGATAAGTTTTCAGTCAATACAGATGATGTTCCTGGAAAAATCACTGAGAAACTACCTTTGAACCTCAGGTACCTCATCAGTAAGGAGGAACACAGAACTGATGGTTCCTGGTGCAATTACATATGCTTAGAGGTAACATAAGATAATCTTAATGATAATAATAATTCTCCATGAGGCTGAAGAGATGGCTCAGTGGTTAAGAGAACTGGCCACTCTTCCAGAGGGCCTGGTTCAGTTCCCAGCACCCACATGGTGGTTAACAACTATCAGCAACTCCAGTTCCAGGGGATCTGACTCCTTCTCTTGGCCTCCGTGGTCACTGCACATACGTGGTGCCCCTACATACATGCAGACAAAACAATCACACATAAAATAAAAATGAATAAATAAAAAAACTAATAAAAAATAAAAATAATTCTTCAAATCCATATAATATTGTGATTTTTTTACAAAGATCCTAGAGATTACCCAGGAACATACACAAAATATTCATTTTTAAGAATGCACACAAATATCTAAAGACAGATTAGAAAAAAGACTGAAAGGATGTGTACTATATCCCTAAGAATAGAAGGTTGTTACAGGAACAGAGAATGGAACTGAAAACAGGACTGTGGATGGGAGTCAAAGAAAAAAATATCAGCTTTCAGGGCTGGAGAGATGACTCAATGGTTAAGAGCACTTACTGCTCTTACAGAGTCCAGTTTCCAGTACCCACATCATGCAGCTCACAACCTCCTGTAACTCCAGCTCCATGGAGCCTGACACACTCTTCTGGACTTTGCAGGGACCTACACATGCACATTCCCACATACAGACACACACATACTCCTAATTTAAAATAAAGATTTCTAAAAATGTCAATTTACTTATAAAGAAAGAAGATATCAGCTAAGACAAGAAAGGAGTCTTGCACTGACCAACCACAATACTGGGTCACTAATTCTATTGCATATAAGGCCAAACTCCAGAAAGTCCTAGAAATCTTCTGTAGCCAGAAAGAGATGGTACAGCAGCTTTTGACAAGCATCAAGTTCAGATCTCCTTAACCTACAAAGAAATTATGTCCCAATAAACCCATCAGTCAGAAACACATTAATAGGCTTGGCTTACTAAACACTATAGCTTAGCTTTGTTTAGCCTATCTTAAAAGTGACCAAGAGCTAGGTGTGGTGGCACAAGTCTTTAGTCCCAGCACTCTGGTGACAGAGGCAGGCAGATCTCTGTGGATTTAAGGCTAGTCTGATCTATATAGTGGGTTCCAGGCCAGTTAATGCTACACAGTGAGACTCTGCCTCAAAAAAAGTGCTCAGAGAACTTGCATTATCCTGTAGATATGCAAAATAATCTGACATTTATAATTGCATGTTGACTAGCTCGTGTAATTCATTGAATACCATACTGGAAAAAAAAATGGATGTTATCAGTAAGCTTTCACAACATCATGAATTCTAAAGTGTTCAATTGAACCATAGTAACTTGGGGGTCATCTGTATTTTTATCCCCATTTTTATTAATTAGATGAAAGGAGACATTTTCCTAATGTCTCTAAATCTATAACAAAATTTGTAGTAGAGAATAAGGAAGATACTCTAAGAAACCACCTTAATTATGCCAGCCCATGTCTCCAGTATGAGGCAGGTAGTGCTTCATGGCAAGTGCTAAGCTAAAGCAAAGGGAGATTCTTGAAAGCCCAGATCAGGCAGGTATCAATTTGAGAAGACAGTCCTATATGTGCATTCACTCGCTAACCCAACCGACATCAACTTGGCATCTGCTAAATATATCAAGTACTGTTCTAGATAGTGGGGGGTTCATCTGTCAATAACACAGACAAAACCTCCGCTCACGAGAAACTTGAATTCAAGAACAGTAGACATGAACAGGCATAAAGAGGAAGACCAAAGAGTGGTAATTTCTGTGAAGAGAATAAAGCATGTGACACAGTGATTGTAGTGGAGAGCCAGAAAAGCTCCGTTGGTGGTGGACACCTTGAAGGGGAGAGCTAAATGATACAAGTCACCCACGCACAGGTCAGAGTGAGAGTATCCCATCGAGGTATAGAGCCCTAAATAGCATAGAAAGTGGCCGGAGTGTGGTGGACAGAGGAGGGAGATACGAAAGGAGAGCTGGGTGGTGGAGATGCTAACAAGCCTGGGTAGGAGGAGCAGATTTCATTCTGAGTGCTATGGGAAGCCTCAGGGGGCGTTAAACAGAAGGATGGCGTTTCGTTTGCTTTTTAGGACTGTTCTAGGTTGTGCAGGGAGTGGAATGTTGTGGGTGGGGAAGAAAACAGAGAAAGCAGGTGGGAGAACCTCTGCAATCTAGATACTCAGGATGGTGGTGGTTTGGCCTAGGGTGGTAGCAGATGAGACAAGCATGGGATTGGAGGAATGCTTTAGAAACAAAGTTGACAGGCTTGGCTGAGGACTTTGATGAGGGAAGGAGTAAGCAAGGCTAACGGGGAGGGTACCATTCATTAAGAAAAAGGAACCATGGGAATGTATGTTGTTTTGAAATATCTACCGCCTCTGATCAGACCAAAGATTGATGGAGATAAGAGTTCAATTTTAATCAAAATTTCCCTCCTTTTAATGTCCCTTAAGAGCCCAAATCTGAAATTAATATAGGTGATAGATAGATAGATGATCGATAGATGATAGATAGATAGATGATGATGATGATGATGATAGATAGATAGATAGATAGATGATAGATAGATAGATAGATAGATAGATAGATAGATAGATTTGGTCATACATGAACATGCACATACATAGACAGAAAGATAGATAAATAGATAGATAGATAGATAAATAGATAGATGATAGAGGGATAGATAGATAGATAGATAGATGATAGAGGGATAGATAGATAGATAGATAGATGACAGATAGATGATAGATAGATAGATGA